CATAATAACCTCTCTCTCTTTATTTATTTCTCCAATCAAGTTGCTTTGGTGAAGGCAACCCAAAAGGACCATGCACCATCGGGTCAAGTACATACCAAAATAGTTATAGACTTAGACACTAATCCAACAATAAGTACCTGATGGATAAAGACCCAAAGACTTGATCATTGTCATTTTACCAAACTGGAAGATGTTGTGCTGCTGTAGAGAATGGTATGCATAAAAGCCTTAAAGCCCTCATAATGGATGCTAGAAAAAGCCTATTATCATCATGTTAGAGGAATGAAGATCATATATGATGGAAAGATTATACAAGTTAAAGTTAAAGGGACAAGCATTGGGAAATCAAGTATGCCCATAACTAAGAGAACTACTCAATAAACTAAAGATTTATCATAGGAATTACACTGTACTACCAAGTAGCTCGAATTAGTTTGAGGTGAGATGTGACATCCCCAATTTCATGGCCAGAAAAGACCGATTTGTTTATCCTTTATTTTATAAAATCAGAGTAATCTTTTGATTAAAAGAGTTGCGGAATTTGTTCCCAAAATAAAATATGATAAAATTTATCAAAACATTTCTCAAAGAGAATGTATTCTCATTAAATAATAAAACCTTAGGATGTCATGTTCGATACAGACCAAAAGCATAAACAATATAAAATAAATCTTACAACAATTATTTATGACTACTGATCTATAATCCAAAATCTCTCGTCAAGTCCACCAACTTATACTCTTGTGCCATCACCTGTAATGTAAAGAAAACTAAGTGGGTCAGGCTTGGGAGCCTGGTGAGCATATAAGGTTTTCAACCCACAATAATATAATTATTATATGTAATTAGCAAACAATCAACCCAATTACCCATCCCCATTATCTTCTTAAGGTTTTACCCTAAGAACTAACTATCCTTCATTCATTTATTCGTAAGGAATTTGGCACGAATTCCATTGCTGCCAAAGCTTATTTATCAAGTACTAAATCCATAGTTATCTGGCGTTAACTCCATAGTCACCAAGGTCACTTAACAAGCGCTAACTCCATAGTCGCCAAGGCTTACTCAACAAGCGCTAACTCCATAGTCGCCAAAGTTTACTCAACGTGTGCTAACTCCATAATCACCAAGGTTTACTCAACGTGCGCTAACTCCATAGTCGCCAAGGTTTATACAATAGGCGCTAACTCCATAGTCACCAACTATTCCATCTACCTATGTTCTACCCAACAATTTTGTAGACATAAATACTTACACAGTTTAAATCATTTAACACCTGTATAAAACTCTAATTTCCATGCCCATCTCAAATAGACAAATAACATATAAACACATAGCATGTATTTCATAGCAAATACGTCATATTTATGTGTTAGAAGAAAGTAACTACATACTCACACATATAAACAACAATAAACTTAATACACTCAAACCATACTTGTATTATTATCGCGTTTATGAAAGGTAGTATACACTCACTTGATCAGAAGATGATCGGACAGCACTACGACTTGCAGAAGTAGTATTCTTCGGTAGATCTGGAAGATCTCCGCAAAAAATCGAACTTCTCGCGGGTAGAGCTTCGGCTCGGAAACCGCACTTCTCGGGATCTTCGGGATCTCGGGGCTTGCTTTGGGGTTCGAGAATATTACCGGGGCTTCGGGGTATTTCTGGCACGCAAATCGAGGCAAAACGGGAGAGAGAATGGAGAAAAATAGCAAAGAAACTCTACAGCCTCGCATCCTATTTATAGGAGGCTGGAGCCTCGGAGTACGCGGGGCGTACGCGTCCGAATTCGTCACTGCATGCGTCATCCGAAGTCCTCGAGTGCGAGTGTCGACATCTTCGCTGTACGCGGGGCGTACTTCGGATCGGACCGCTGACTCCTCTTCGGATAATGCCGGGGTTTAATAATTAAATTTAATTATTAATTAATTAATAGACTTCGAAAATTCATATCTTCTTCATACGAACTCCGTTTTCGACGTTCTTTATATCCACGCGTAGGTGAGACTACGCTCTACAACTTTCGTTTAGATCCCGTCGGCTAATTTTGACATTATTTTTATTATTTATTTTTAGTAGGCAGGGACAGAAAATTTCGTTGTAAATTCATAACTTCTTCGTTTGACGTCTGTTCTCGCCTAACTTTTCGTCGTTTCTCTACTAACAACGAGATATTAGATTCTTTGTGTAGATCGCTAAGGCTAAATATCACTCTAACATAAATTTACTTTTTACGTCATTCAGCGTTGTGTCGATTCTGTCGCGAAACTTTAACAAGTCATAACTTCTTCGTTATAACTCGAATTTTGGCGTTCTTTATATGCACGGAAACCTTGTAACATATACTACAACTTAGTTAGGATTATTCATCCTAAATAATCTTCTATCAAAAAGTCATTTTTGACGCTTATTGTCTCTAAATTGACTAGCCCTGATCTACGGGGCGTTACATGAGAGGAATTGGAGATGTATATGAGGTTGATTTGGAGAAGAGAACTTGCTCATGTAGGTTATGGAAACTCAATGGATATGGTTGTGTCCATTTTGTTGCTAGTGTAGTGTATCTCAATTGGAATATAGATGATTATATGGACAAAATGTTCAGTAGCAATACCTACATGAAATCATATATGTATAGAATTGCGGGGATGAATGGGTCTAACATATGGCCAGAAGCTGAATACACACCACCTCTACCCCTTGTGAATAGAAGGATGCCTGAAAGACCAACTGTTAAAAGGATGAGGGATGCCACATAAAATAATGGTAGAACACAAACAAAAGAGAAGGAGGCTTCAATAGTTACTAATGACACCAAGAAGGTTTCCAAAACTAGAAAGGGGTGAAGTGAAACATTTGCAAGGAACCAAGTCTCAATAAAGCTACTTGTTTAGTAGAAAGACCCAAATATTAAATTAAGGCTTTCATGAATTACATATGAATCTTTTACCTTGCTATATAGGTAACTACAAATGAAGGTTAAGAACACGAAGAAATTCAAGTCAGTCCATTTGATGTGTAAGTGACTCTAACACAGGTTCAGGAGGATGTCCAAGTTGAGGTTCAAGTTGAAGATGGAGTAGGTCGGTTCAAATTAAAGATGAATTGGGTGGGGTGCAAGTTGAATAGGGATTAGATGATGATGTTATTGACATTGAAGATTTGTTTAATGTTGTGCAAACTAAAGAGGATAATGTTGGAAATGTACAAGTTCAAGAGCTCAATGGTGTTAATGTTTAAGTTCAAGAGCATAATGGTGCTAATGTTCAAGTTCAAGAGGTCCCACTAGTACCACACATATCTGACCTATTGAGGAGGACTAGGAATAAAAAGTTAGAGATAATCTTGAAGTTGAAGTTGGGTAAGAGAGTGGGTGATAAGCATGCTCTAGTGAACTCAAAGGATAATTGGTAGTTTTAATACGATAATGTTGATATAGAGTAGGATACTGTTGGTAATCTTGTTTTAATACGATAATGTTGTTTTTAATTTGGATAATTGGTAGTTTTAAGTTATGTTTGAAGTTAGGCAAGACAGTCTGGTGGCGATGTTTTAATGTGGATCCCTTGATACTTGATTGTATAAGTTATGTTTGAATTTAAAATGTATGAAAGTAGGTTGCCTTATTAATGCATGCATGCACACGGATGGGTAATATGGTACATTATGCTAAAATGTGCATGATATACATGGACCAAAACAATATGGTCCTTATTTTTTATTACTTTGTCAATTTCTGCACATAAAAAGGGATCAAAGTGGTCTACTTCGGGATAATACAACATTTCTGGTCCCATATTATTATTAAACTAATGTGGTCAATTTCTACACATGCAATACACTCAGTTCCTTGTAAACAACATAGACAGTGTACTTTTATAAGGTCAAAGAATCTAATACACACACTTTCCAATTGACAATAATATAAGACACATTTCATTCCAATATTATAATAATGTCAACAAACTTTACAAAAGCATGCATTTTTGGTATAAAAGTCCCCATCATTCAGTCTTGGCAGTATTTATGAATCGCATACATACTACAATGATCCCTAAAGTTGGTTGGAATTGTTATCATTAACCGATGATATACCAAAGCCCCCAAAATTAGGTTGGAATTTTCATCATCAACCAAAGCCTAAGACATATATAAAAACCCCCACCCCTGACTGACTAACTTCACTTTCACAATAGCCAAAGGAAAAGGACAACCACTATAAGAACCAGAATCACAAGCTTCAACCTACCAGCTACCTTGTTTGACTGATCGAGGAGCTCCTGCAACCTCTCAACCTCAGCCTTCTCTTTCGATAGGAGAAACTCCAACTCTACTACTTTAGTCCTGCACTTACACAATTTAGACTAATCCTCTCTACTATCTAACTTTTGCTTCATTGAGTAAATTAGTGTTTTGTAGCAACCATTTTCTAACAAATCATTTATCCACTCAAAGAATCTGCATTTCATAAGCTTGGTCTGTTAATCAATTTAACAAGCACAAAACATTGTTGTTAATCAAGTAATCTTGGTATGTTAATCCAGTAAACAAACAAAGAATGCTAAGGTTTGTATTTATGAGACAAATTAGGGTTTTCGAAACCCTAATTTCTAAAAAAAGCTTAGTTTAAGTAAAGGGTTATCAAAATAAAAGTAAATTTGGGTAGATCGGAAGCTCACCATTTTATTCTGATAGTTAAATAATCTCCTCTCAGGATTTCCAATGCACCACAAAGTTCGTTGCAATGAGGGTTTGTTACAGACACAATCGGGAAGGTTGTGTAAGTCGCCGGTGCTCCCAGCTCGTAGCCTCAGTCAAAGCGTTTGACTGATAGAGGAAGATGAGGAAGCCATCAGGAGATCTCTTAACTTGAAAAACTTTGCTCGAATGGTTGGATTAAGGAAACAACGTAACCGTGAGTGTGCTATATGAGGATATCATTTAGGAAAATCTATAGAAAAATCCCAAACTTTTGGGAAAAGTTTCAATAAAATCCTAAAAGTCTTTTTTTTAACAGAAAAGTCTCATTATTTTGAGAAAATCATATAATCTGTCATTTGTTGTTCAAATATAAAAAATGGTTTTTTTTATCAATTTGGGCAAAATATTAAATAATCGAGACTTTTCTATTTAAAAAAAAAAAACTTTTAGGATTTTCTTGAATTTTTTCGTAAAAGTTTGAGACTTTTTTTGTGGATTTCTCTATCATTTATTAGGTGTGTGATGACCAGGTTGTGATGTGGCTGAGTAGCTACAGTAACAATTTAACTTCTCTCACACGTTTGCACTGCCAAATAAGTTTCATAATTGGACAACCGACTAAAAACGATCAACATGGCGTAATTGACAGGTAATTTAAAAGTTGAGGGACTAATTGTGAAAAAAAACTTGCATGATCAATCCGAGACAACACCAAAACTTTATCGTGCTACCATATCAATTCCACTTGATCTTAAATCATTAAACGGAACCTGTTTTCTTGAACATAAGTTTGATCTGTATTTTCCAACTTCAACCTGTAATTTGCAAATACCCTTATAAATTCTTTAATCAATCCAATATCTTTTAGTCTAATCAAGTGTTAATCATATACAAATTAACCCATAATTACTTTAATATTTCAATTTTCGACCACAAAAAATAAAAAACTGCCATCCCTCGACATATACGATGAAAAGAAAGCCGTCCCTGGACCCCGTCAGGTTTGTCTGTTGCAGGTTCGCCGTCACCGACTGAGATCAACATTAGCCGTCGGTTACAAATGACAGCTAAGCGAAGACAGCCACAGGAATATGGCGGCTTATAAATAAATGATCAACTATGTATGTTCTCTTATAATTCATCGAGGGGTTACTTGTGTAATTGTGGTGGGAAAAGAAGTTATCTGGCGGCTGGTGGAAGCGTCAGAAGATACCTTTTTATTCCCGTTAGAATCTTGGAAAAAACCTGGCGGCGTCAGTTGTTTTTCGTTTAGTCGAATGTTTCTTGACAGCATGTCGACAACCTGGCTCATGATTGGCCTACGGCTGGCGGTTGCTTGCGTACAAAAGAAAGCTACTTTTATGTACTTTATCACTTCCTCCGAATCATATGTTTTTAGCTCTGGATCCACTAGCTCCAACAGTTTCTCCTCTTCATACAGCTCCCACGCCTATATCACAAGAAAAAAAAATAATAATAATAATAATAAATCTCAAATTAGACCATTAAACCCTAATTTTTTTTTTTTTAAAATTACAAATTTGCCCTCATTGAGAAAACAACATACCCATTCCAATAGAAGTTTCTGTGATGGACCCCAGCCTGACGTTGAACTGCCTCTACCGCTAATTATCTCAAGAACGAGAACCCCAAAGCTATAAACGTCCGCTTTCAAAGTCAACTGCCCTCCCAATACGTATTCAGGAGCCAAATAACCACTGAAAAGGAACAACAATAACGAATTTTATTTATTTAATTTCGTTTCATTTTATTACATCATTGTACTTTCAACTTTTAGGAAATATGGAAAGTAGAATGATATAATGAAAGTACATTGCTATTTTAGAAACTCACGTAGTTCCAGCTATTTTGGTGCTTATATGAGTGATGGTATCTGGGAAAAGTTTAGCCAATCCAAAATCTCCAATTTTTGGTGTGAAATGTTTGTCGAGAAGTATATTACTAGCTTTAATGTCTCTATGCACAATATGTGGCTCAAGTTCTTCATGAAGATATGCAAGACCACGTGCTGTTCCAATGCAGATCTCAGATCTTCGTTTCCAGTCCAGCTCTGCAATATGCATTTTTTTACCTGTACATTGTAATCAACTTACATCACACACAATCAAAAAAAAAAAAAAAAAAAAAAAAACTCATTTTAAGTTTGTTGATTACCTAAAAGTGCCGAGTCAAGGCTGTTATTTTCCAAAAATTCATACACTAAAATACGATGACTTCCTTCAACGCAACACCCGATCAACTCGACTAGGTTTCGATGTCTCACATTTGACATCGCATTTATTTCTGCTAAAAATTCACGAACTCCCTGCTTTGATTCAGCACTAAGCGATTTTACAGCTATTTGTGTTCCATTATTCAGGATTCCCTAACATTTTTTATCAAGCATATATGTTCAGTTCATATGTATGTATGTATGTATGTATATGTATATGAGAGAGAGAGAGAGAGAGAGAGAGAGAGAGAGAGAGTGAGTGTGTGTACCTTGTAAACGACTCCAAAACCACCTCGCCCGATCTTTGCACTTCGATCAAAGTTATCGGTTGCTAATCTTAATTCTCTATATGAAAAATTCCTTATGTTATCAAGAGGAAAACCTGTGTGATTATGTAAAGGTTAGATTTAGGGTTTTTATTTTTGGATAAGAGTGAAGTTATTGATTTGTAAATGAACAGTTGAGATTATGAGCATACCTTCTAATTCCGGATGAGTGTTTATCTCTTTCTTTTGTACGCGTTTGGAACCAAAGCAGCTCCAACCCATGTCTGTTTGATTCACAAACACTTTCTTGTGATGCTCAACCTTGTAACACAGAAAAAATGATGTGTGAAAAGTCATATTTTGTAGCAGCTACCAAGCTCAATTATTCATCAATGTTCATTAATTCTTGAAGGACAATAGTTGATTACACATCATTTATACCGCATGTGGTACAAGTTGTCGTTTGCCCTATAATTGTCGGTGTTTCACCATCTACAAAAGGACTACCACTTTTCTTAAAGTCACAAGAAGTTACAAAGTCACAGGCTGGAAAAAGCTAGATTACTCTCTGCTTCAATTTCGTTGTTAATTGAAAGTACCTCTTTATGTCTAAGAAAAGCAACAAAAGTTTCATATTACCAAATCCGTACAAGTGAGCTGAATCAAATCGAAAGATAAGGCGGAGTTTGCTTTCATCTTCATCTGCTGCTAAGCGAAGAACAGTCTTAAGTTTCTAACTAATCAATACAAGCGAAGCACTAGAGAAAGTTTTTTCGGCTTAATCGGTTCAAAGCAAAGGTAGATTTCAATCGTTTAACTCTGGAATCATATGATAAATTAAATAAATCACTAAAACTCATCAACAACAGCTCCTCAAAGCAAAATCAAGCTCAGATCCACAACCACTAACTGAAACAACTTCTTAACGGGAATGATAAACATAAAAAAGATGCAGAAATTACCTTTTATGCACGAATTCACCGGAGCATACTGGAACCACGAATGCGATGATTTGAAAGATCAAACGAGAATATCAGCGATTATAGTTGACTTGCTTAAATTAACGAGAGAGTTTAAGAGGATTCGACCACTGATTCAGGATAAATCCGTCAATACCTTCTCTGATTTTTCAATATATTGAATGTTGTTCCACTGCGCGTGGGAGAAAATAGAAATGGTCATACGGTGGCGCAGATAGTCTTTCTCCTCTGTCTCTGTTCCCACCAAATTTCTAACAAATATTGTTTTTTTTTTTTTTTTTTTTTTTGATATTTAATAAAAAACAACAGAATATTAAAAAGTCAAATTATATAAAAACCGTTATAATTTAACATTTTTAAGATTTAATCATTAGATTTTAGCTTTTTCATCGATTTGATTTGACATGTTACAACAGATTAAAATAATAATATTAAAAAAAATATTGTGTTTTAGAGTTTTATTGAAACTTTTCATATTAAATATCGAAATAAAACCGTTAAACCATAATAGTTTTTAAAATAACAATTTTAACATGATATAATGCTATATCATGTTAGTGTTGGATTTTATTCAAAAATTAGTTTCAACAACATCAAATTTAGCTACAGAAGATTCTATAACTTGAATAACATAAAATAAGTTTATAATCCATTAAGAATCTTCTTGTAAAGTTTGGAAAGAAAACAAACATTAACCAAATAAGGGGATTGAGAAATTACCATATTTGTTGTTCTTTAGGTTCTCTTGAGAGGTTTGGAAGTTGATGAAGAATGATGAATTATAGAGACACCAACAAAAAGCCAACTTGATGTAGATGCTAGTCTAAAGCTCTTAACTCTTAAGCTTTATGTTTTTATCAAAATAAGAACACAAAGAGAGCAAAAGATGCAAGTGTACTTCAAGAGATGGTCAAAAGTAAGAGAGCATACACAAATGCATGCTGCTTATTTTATTTTTTTGTGCTAATGTAACATACACGTTTTGAAATCATGTTTTATAATGAATAAAATTGTGAAATACTATGTGAAATTGAGTGTTGAGTTCTAACAGATGATTTTTACTAGAAATGAAGTAAAACTATGTTTAGAATCACTCAGAAAATATTGGAAGTCTTATGAGATTCCAATTAAAAGTCAAATAGTGAAAATATAAAATTTTAAATAAATAAAATTTTATTATTTGATGTTGTAGAAAATCTCGTTAGAAACTTGTAGGCGAAAACCTCGTCGAAATCCGAGTTATAACGAAGAAGTTATGACCAACCGAAGATCCGCGACAAAACCGACACGGCACCGAATGACATAGAAAGTGAGTTTTTGATAAACTATTTTTAGCCTTAGTAATCTAAATGAAAGTCGTGGTATTTGTTAAACCGAGAAATTCGATAAAAAGAACGCCAAAATCTGACTTCGTATGAAAAAGTTATGATTTTTCGAAGTTTCAACTTAGCAGTAGACAACTAAAAACTCAAATTTCAGATCGAGCGATATTTAACCGATACATCCTAAACGAGAATCGAAGGTCTCGTCATTTGTAGTACAACGGTAAAAAGTCTGTCGAAAACGGATGTCGGATGAAGAAGTTGTGAATTTTTAACGGATTTTCCTGTCCCGATCTGTTAAAAATAATAATATTAAAAATAAAGTCAAAATTAGCCCACGAAGTCTAAACGAAAGTTGTAGAGCGTAATTTTAGCTACACGTGCATATAAAGAACGTCAAAAACGGAGCTCGTATGCGAAAGTTATGGATTTTAGAAGTTCGGGGCTCGAAAACCGAGGAATCTCGCATGAATAGTACCGACCACGTCACCTCGCACGAAGCAGGTGCGTCACCGGAGACGTGGCCCAGCCTGAGAAGCGACGCATGTCCCAATCCGAAGCAGCCACGAGCCCCTGACGCGTCCTTCGCATCACCTCCACGTCTGAGCCTCGCAGCAGGCCTCGTGGCCTTCTCTTCTCGCGCCACCTGCCCTTCGCTGCTGATGCCACCGAGTAGCTTCGTCACCCTCCTCCGGACCGAGCCTCGCAGGTGCAACATGGACACCTCCCAGCCACTAATTCCATACCCTCTCACCCTATATAAAGGGAGGCTGCAAGCCTTCTCGGGTAACTTTGAAAAATTAACACTTTTTCACCCTAATTTCATATATTCACTATTTTGACTTTCCCCGAAGCCCCGATATCAATTTTAGCACCCGAAACGCATCCCTTCGTAGAGCCCGGTTTTCAATTAAGCTCTCGGTTTTCAACATAGAAAGTCATATTTAAAGTCGAAGTGCTGCCCAAATTACTATTTTAACCCCTGGTTAACTTAAGGTGAGTTCAATATATAGGAACAATTGTATGTTATGTGTTATATGTGCTATGTGCTTTTCAGTGTTATTATTCTGAGTTATTTTCCCATGTTGTTTTATTCTCTATGTTTATAGAAATTGTAATACCTTTGACCATGTGATCAGTGAAAGGACTTAGATTCACATTGGTACTGGTACGTAGCCTCTGGCCATGTAGAGCATGTCTCTGTAAGAGAATGACTTCTATTCTATGGCATTGGCAAATGGTTAGACAGAACTATAAGCCTGAAATCTAACAAGATGTTGATCAGAAATTTGCATGTCTTCTATGCCATTTGGGCCAAAGTTTTATTGATGTATATCAAGCATTGAAAAGTATATCTTTGAATAAAGTCTTTGATTGATATGAACGCTTGTCACATGATCTCACATATGTCTTGTTCCTCTTTGCTTTTGTCACATTGAAGTATATATATGGCATAACGTTATATTGTATCTATTACTGAACTCACTAAGCGTCATCGCTTACCCTATCAATGTTTAACAATTGTAAGTGATAAGTAGCTAATATGTTCACATACTATTGAAAGATTTAGAATAGTTTGTAATAGTACTTTTGTACTACAGTTTATGTTTGTATAAATTACAATATCCTGGGTAGTTATGTAATATATATAACACTTTGTAATAGACGGTTTGTATCCAATAGTTTGTAATCCCTTCATCAATGTAAAATATTGCTTTTATGAATACGCAAGTAGCATGTTTTGGAGTAATGATATTGTGAAGTATGAAAGTTTGGGTCTTTCAAAAATACGAAAGTTGGGGTCTTTCAGCTAACCAGAGAGAGAGTTGAAAGCCTTCATAAAATCTGTCTTTTGAAAACAAGTTATTAACCATTTAAGCCATCTCTTGTCACTAGGGGTGCAAACGAGCCGAGCCGAGCCCGAGCCTGGCCAGGCTCGGCTCGGGCTCGTTTAAGTTATATGAGGCTCGAGCTCGAGCTCGGCTCGATTCGAGCTTTCTTGTACTGAGCTCGGCTCGAGCTCGTAAAGAATTATCCAAGCTCAGCTCGGGCTCGGGATCGACTCGTTTTTTATCTGACGTGCCTAAATAAGCTTAAGCTCGGCTCGAGCTTGTTAAGAAGTTCGTTTACTAATACCCTAAATCCGTAATTCCTCTAATATATTTTTATTTTAATATATATAAAAATAATAATAGATTATATTATATAAAGGCTCGTTTAGGCTCGCGAGCCTAATCGAGCTTAATGACATAGGCTCGAGCTCGAGCTCGTTTAATAAACGAGCTTAATATTAAGCTCGAGCTCGGCTCGGGCTCGTTTAAAATTGATTTCGAGTCGAGCTTTTAACGATCCGATCCCGAGTAGCTCGCGAGTAGCTTGGCTCGTTTGCACCCCTACTTGTCACTAGACCACCATATCCTCCATGCTTGTATGGTTAGACATTACTTTAGAATAACTAACATGAAAACCATACTCTTGTATTTTAACTCTTATTTTATAAAAAAAGATAATAATAAATAAAAGGAAGAAGACAAAACCTTTATATTTTATAAAACGAATTTATAAAATATAAACTTTAACTTTTTGGTAACAGAATTTTTTTTATCTAGTACAAAATGTTGTGCATGACTTATTGATTCATATCATATGAATTATATATAATGTTACTTACTAATGAAAATTATTATTTCCTAGAAATAAATAATTTCCAATTTAATTATAAGAGTTTATTGAATATTTATTAGAATCAATTTCTAAATAATCAATTATATTAAGTTGTTGTTAATGTAACCCTTTAATATCATATGTTAATTAGCAATATCACTTTAATATGATTCTTGAGTATACCAGATCTTTCAATCTCCCACTTGCGCAAGATTCATATTACACTGATATAGACGGTGGTGAACGTCTAGCAACATTTCACTGCCCCCATCAACATACGACTTTGTACCATTCTATCACCACCCAATCCCCTTAAAGCTCCAAGCTACAATTGGTGTATAAGGTAAGTTTATCAATCATCCCTTTGTCACACACGTCATGTTAAACATGAGATATGAATCGCAATCAATATCATATGGTGTTCAACTTTTGGTAAGGCGCATTAGATGTCTAACTCTCAATACACAAAAGGAAAAATCTCATATTGACTACATAAACCTTGTAACACTCAATATTTAAGCCAAATTTAAAATTTTTAAAAACACGACAAATTCATCAAAACATTACAACTTTGTTTTCAAAATACATTCATATCATAGTTTTCCCAAAAACATAACACAATAGGAGGAGTTGTACGATCAAGTCTTAGCCTTGCCGCGATCCCTAGAGGTACCTGAAACAATAAACTGAAACTGTAAGCCCGAGAGCTTAGTGAGTTACCCCCAAAATACCGATACACATACAGTTCACATAACAATATCTACATTAGCATATCATATCAATCAAAACAGAACAGCGTGCACTAGGTCCACAACTTTACAAGTTGGACTACCCCTAGGCCCTCAGTACGAGTCTGGAATGCCTACCGGGCCCTCAGCTCGTATCTGAAATGCCATCGAGCCCTCAGTACGAGTCTGGAATGCCTACCGGGCCCTCAGCTCGTATCTGGAATGCTCTCGGGTTTGTTAGTTACCGCACGGAGCAGTACAACCTCAACCCACCCCACATAACATGTCGTCATGTAACAGATAAATGCGCACACAGGTAATCAATCAGTATCACAAACAGTCCTACAGATCTACCCGACTAGCACATCAACTGGCATGCATTACTAACTCAAACTCTACATAACAATAACTACTAGGATATCAAATCCAATGGGCCGGCCTTGGTGCCTTAGACCCCTTAGTATAGTGAGGATAACTCACCTCGCAACTGTCGTCAGAAATAAGAAAGCTCAACTCCCGGGTCCAACACGAACTTCACCACCTAAACATA